TCTATTTTCTGCTTCTTTCTCTGTACATTCTTTTTCCAAATCAATCCTCCCATTATATAAAAGTCATAATTTTAGAGTAATGTTTTATTTACTTTGATCTTGCATGAAAATATCTGGTAGACACTCTCATGACTCACCAATTTCACAGTCCTCAAAAATATAAATTCTCTCAGAAATTTTTATTAAAACTATATATATATATATATATGGTGTATATATATGTGTATATATATATGTATATATATATATATGGTATGTATATATATGTATATATATGTGGTGTGTGTGTGTGTGTGTGTACATATATACATATCTTAAGCCTCCACTGTTCTCAACTCTAGATTCTGTTTATAATGTTTGTTTTGTTGACATGTTTTAACTTCAATCAATTTCTCAATATTGTCAGTTTGACTTTTTGGGTCAGACACTTCTTTTTGATGATGGGCTGGTTTGCAGATATACTATGTTTAGCATTTTGATTGGTACTAGCATGATGCTAAACATAAATTGCAAATCCCCCTCCTTCCTGTGACAGGTAATACCATGTTTCTCTCTTGTGACAACTAACAGACTCAAAACATTGCCAAATATTCTCTGGCAGGCAAAATCATACTATGGTAGAACAATTAACGTAGATACAGAAATTTGTCTCCTATCAAATTGTCCCAAATAATTTATTTGTACAAAGTGTAATTAATGTGAATTCTAGCTCTTTCTATAAATACGATAAAAGTGATGCTCCTCGAGCTGCTTTGTTTATGGTTGTATTTTTTAAAAATGTGTTTATTATACTTTAAGTCCTGGGGTACATGTGCAGAATGTACAGGTTTTTACATAGGTATACATGTGCCATGGCGGTTTGCTGCAACCATCACATTATTTACATTAGATATTTCTCCTAATGTGATCCCTCCCCAGTCCCCCATTCCCTGCTATCCCTCCCATAGCCCCTGCACTCCCCCGACACACCCTGTTGTGTGATATTCCCCTCCCTGTGTCCATGTGTTCTCATTGTTCATCTCCCATTTATGAGTGAGTGAGAACATGCAGTGTTTGGTTTTCTGTTCCTGTGTTAGTTTGCTGAGAATGATTGTTTCCAGCTTCATCCATGTCCCTGCAAAGGACAGGAGCTCATCCTCTTTTTATGGCTGCATAATATTCCATGGTGCATATGTGCCACATTTTCTTTATCCAGTCTGTCACTGATGGGCATTTGGGTTGGTTCCAAGTCTTTGCTATTGTGAACAGTGCCACAATAAACTTATGTGTGCATGTGTCTGTATAATAGAATGATTTATAATCCTTTGCATATATAACCAGTAATGGGATTGCTGGGTCAAATGGTATTTCTAGTTCTAGATCCTTGAGGACTCACCACACTGTCTTCCACAATGGTTGAACTAATTTACACTCCCACCAACAGTGTAAAAGTGTTACTATTTCTCCACATCCTGTCCAGCATCTGTTGTCTCCTGATTTTTTAATGATCGCCATTCTAACTGGTGTGATATGGTATCTCAATGTGGTTTTGATTTGCATTTCTCTAATGACCAGGGATGATGAGCTTTATTTCCTATGTTTGTTGGCTGCATAAATGTCTTCTTTTGAAATGTATCTGTTCATATCCTTTGCCCACTTTTACATATTTATGCCTGTATCAAAATATATCATGTACCCTGTAAATATATATACCTATATTTCCATAAAAATTAAAAATTAAATAGTAAAAAATCTTTGAGAAATGATTATCAAAATATTAAAGTTTCAAATGTTATGACCAACAATAGCACCACTTTCTTATAAATTAGATGTAAAAATTAGAATTCTAACAGACACTATTTAAAATAAGCCAAAATTGTGTTTTTATATATTTAGAAATGCTTAGCTACATATGCTCTTTATTTTATTTTATTGTGTTTTAGGTTTTGAGGTACACGTGAAAAACATGCAGGATTGTTGTATAGGTACATACATGGCAATGTGGTTTTCTGCCTTCCTCCCCATCACCTATATCTGGCATTTCTCCCTATGTTATCCCTCCCCAAAGCACCATCCCCTGCTGTCTCTCCCCTAGTTCCACCCCACAGACCTCTCTGTGTGATGCTCCCCTCCCTGTGTCCATGTGTTCTCATTGTTCAACACCCGCCTATGAGTGAGTACATGAGGTGTTTGATTTTCTGTTCTTTTGTCAGTTGGCTGAGAATGATAGTTTCCAGCTTCATCCATGTCCCTACAAAGGACACAAAGTCATGGTTTTTTATGGCTGCATAGTATTCCCTGGTGTATATGTGCCACATTTTCCCTGTCCAGTCTTTCATCGATGGGCATTTGGGTTGGTTCCAAGTCTTTGCTATTGTAAACAGTGCTGCAGTAAACATTTGTGTGCATGTGTCCTTATAATACAACAATTTATAATCCTTTGTATAGAGATCCAGTAATGGGATGGCTGGGTCAAATGGAATTTCTATTTCTTGGTCCTTGGGGAATCACCACACTGTCTTCCACAATGGTTGAACTAATTTACACTCCCTACCAACAGTGTAAAAGTGTTCCTTTTTCTCCACATCCTCTCCAGCATCTGTTGTCTCCAGATTTTTTAATGATCAGCATTCTAACTGGCATGAGATGGTATCTCAATGCAGTTTTGATTTGCATTTCTCTAATGATCAGTGATGATGAGCATTTTTTCATATGTTTGTTGGCCTCACATATGTCTTCTTTGGTAAAGTGTCTGTTCATGTCCTTCGCCCACTTTTGAATGGGCTTGTTAGGTTTTTTTCTTGTAAACCTGTTTTACTTCTTTGTAGATTCTAAATATTAGCTCTTTGTTAGATGGGTAAAGTGCAAAAACTTTTTCCCATTCTGTTTGTTGCTGATTCACTCTAATGATTGTTTCTTTTGCTGTGCAGAAGCTGTGGTGTTTGATTAGGTCCCATTTGTCTATTTTGGCTTTTGTTGCCAATGCTTTTGATGTTTTAGTCACGAAATCCTTGCCTATGCCTATGTCCTGAATGGTTTTGCCTAGGTTTTTTCCTAGGCTTTTTATGGTGTTAGGTCTTATGTTTAAGTCTTTAATTCATCTGGAGTTAATTTTAGTGTAAGGTGTCAGGAAGGGGTCCAGTTTCTGCTTTCTGCACATGGCTAGCCAGTTTTCCCAACACCACTTGTTAAACAGGGAATCCTTTCCACATTGCTTGTTTTTGTCAGGTTTGTCAGAGATCAGATGGTTGTAGATGTGTGGTATTGCCTCCGAGGACTCTGTTCTGTTCCATTGGTCTGTATCTCTGTTTTGGTACCACTACCATGCTGTTTTGATTACTGTTTTGATAGGCTTGTAGTATAGTTTGAAGTCAGGTACTGTGATGCATCCAGCTTTGTTCTTTTTGCTTAGAATTGACTTGGCTATGTGGTCTCTCTTTTGGTTCCATATGAAGTTTAAGGTGTTTTTATCAAGTTCTGTGAAGAAGGTCATTGGCAGCTCAATGGAAATAGTGTTGAATCTGTAAATTACTTTGTGTAATATGGCCATTTTCACAATACTGATTCTTCCTAACCATGAACATGGAATGTTTCTCCATCTGTTTGTGTCCTCTCTTATTTCATTTAGCAGTGGTTTGTATTTCTCGTTAAAGAGGTCCTTTACATTCTTTGTTAGCTGTATTCCTAGGTATTTTATTCTCTTTGTAGCAATTGTGAAGGGCAATTAGTTGTTGATTTGGCTCTCTTTAAGTCTGTTATTGGTGTATAGGAATGCTTGTGGGTTTTGTACATTGATTTTGTATCCTGAGACTTTGCTGAAGTTGCTTATAAGTTTCAGGAGATTTTGAACTGAGATGATGGGGTCTTCTAAATATACAATCATATGGTCTTATAAATCCACCCTGTAAATACTTACAAAGAAGCATTAATGAATTAAAATACTTGAGAATCCAAAGGTAAGAAATGAAGTATAATTGTAACTTTGGGCCGGGCGCGGTGGCTCAAGCCTGTAATCCTAGCACTTTGGGAGGCCGAGGCGGGTGGATCACAAGGTCAAGAGATCGAGACCATCCTGGTCAACATGGTGAAACCCCGTCTCTACTAAAAATACAAAAAATTAGCTGGGCATGGTGGTGCGTGCCTTTAATCCCAGCTACTCAGGAGGCTGAGGCAGGAGAATTGCCTGAACCCAGGAGGCGGAGGTTGCAGTGAGCCGAGATCGCACCATTGCACTCCAGCCTGGGTAACATGAGTGAAACTCCGTCTCAAAAAAAAAAAAAAAAAAAAAATTGTAACTTTGATTAATAAACATATTGTGAATAACATCAGGTAAATCATTGGTTTTTTTTAAGATGGAGTCTTTGTCTGTGGCCCAGGCTGAAGTGCAGTGGCATGATCTCAGCTCACTGCAACTTCCATCTCCTGGGCTCAAGCGATTCTCCTGCCTCAGCCTCCCAAGTAGGTGGGATTACAGGTACACACCACCATGCCTGGCTAATTTTTTGTATTTTTACTAAAGATAGGGCTTCACTGGTTGGTCAGTCGGGTGTTGAACTCCTGACCTCAGGTGATCCTCTCGCCTCGTCCTCCCAAAGTGCTGGGATTGCAGGTGTGAGCCACCATGCCCAGCCCACCACAGAGTAAATCTTTAATGTATCACAATTCATTCCAACTTATTTTTATCAATATGCATAACAAAGTATTATAATAAAAGTATTTTCATCTGTTTCATTTGGGAGGTAATCAGAGTATTTAAAAATCTTATATCTCTTTACATATAAACTAGCATGCTTTTTATCAATGACAACAAACTGAATGAAAAGAATTATTGTGATTTAAAAAAAATCATGATCATCTATTAAAGAGATTGTGAAAAGATAGGAATTAATTGAGTTTAGCCTGCTTATTGTTTGTATATTCACTTGGGATTACAGTTGGTAATAATCACGATTTTCTGCTTTACTCTCATTTTTCTTGCTGTGAATGGAATTCTATATCCCTCTCTTAGTCTCTGTAATGACAATTAACACTTTACAATTCTACTCTTCATCCTGAGAAGACCTCGACATGGTTCTCATGGGTGTTTATTAACAAAAACCTGATAATATCAAAGTTTTCTAATACATTAGAGTGCTTTGTTTTATCTTTGTCTTATGTAAACAATGTTTAGTTATTGGTGAAAAATCAAATAGAAATTATACTTAATAAAAAAGAAGAAAATGCATTACACCATTTTGCCACTACAGGATTTACTTAAAAATGATCTTTTTTATTGTGGGTCTGACATTGGTTAGCTCATTTATCTCATATTAATTGTACTTTTTAAAACATATTTTCTCAGTTTGTTGTTATACATCATTTACAAGGTGGCCCATTTGTGTTTGTTTCTCTTTCCTTCTAGTGGTGCCTTGTCCACCTAATTGGTCTAGTTAAATAAATTAAATTGATTTATTTCCTTTGTCTAATTAAAGAAGCCAATTTTAAATGGATTCATCAATTGTATTTATATCTAGTACCTGTCTAATAACCTAACAATCAAGTCTGGGTATTGTGGCTCACACGTTTAATCCCAGCCGTTCAGGAGGCCAAGGTGAAAGGATTGCTTGAGCCCAGCAGTTTGGTAATAATTTGCTGCAGTGATCTATGATCATACCACTGCACCCGAGTCTGCACAATAAAGTATGACACTGTCTCTAAATATTAATAATAATTATTATTATAACAATTATTATTTCAATGCTTTCTGGTTTTAGCTGAGTTTTTATATTGCTGTCTTTATAAGTTTTCCTTCATCAGTGCTACCAATTTAGCTGTTCTCTTCTATGGAAGATCCTCACCTCCTTTATAATCTCTACTCATTTTCTGAGAGTTTATGAAAATGTAGCTTCAGAGTAAAGCAGGCAAGTAAATTGAATAAAGAGCTAGGAGAATAGTACTTTACTAGAATTAATAAGTAATTGGTTGAGGAAAAAAAGAGGAGAATAAAGATACAAGGAGGAAGGCTTAGAGAATAAAGAAGAAAAAGTAAACAATATTTCAACATTGCTTACCAAGCCAGGATGCAAACATTGTTCCTATTTTCTAGTTTATTAATTACTAATAGCAGTAGTAAGAGCAGCAGCAGCATCTGTAGCAACTGTAATGTTATCAGTATTGATAGTAAACATACAAACAGCTTACCTTCATTGGCTTCTTAGCTTCCAGGGGGGCACTTGGATACACGTTTATGTAATATCATTTAATTCTTGCAATAACATTACTATATGGATGAGATTATTCATATTTACTTAAAGTAGCTAGAGGTTTGTTAATGTAGTAGAAGAAGCCAACACAATCAAATTTGTTGGGGGAAGGAGCAATGGAATGGGTTTACAGTGTGCCTACATAAACTGGTTTTATGTATAAAAGAAATCAGGGACAATAAATCGTGCAAAGCCACAGGAGGCCCTTGGGGAGAAACTCCCAAACCACCGCTGTTATTAATCTCTGGAATGACACACCAGTTCTGGCTCACTGATTCATTCCACCATCACGTCACCCTCTCCCCACCATCACTCCACCCCTACCCTATAGATCAAAGTGATTGTAACCAATAAATACTGTCATGAGCCTAAGCTTGGGGCCTTCACTGCCTTCAGTAATAAGCGATGGCCTCCTGGTCCCACTCCTTGCACTCTTACTCTGTATTTTTCTCAACCCTTTGTCGCCACTGAACTCTTGATACCCACAGGTGACGTGGGGGCTGGTTCCCTACATTTTGGCGCCCAATGTGTGAGGCTCCCTACACAAATCGACCAGATTTTATTGAAAACAGAAAGAGGCTCAAGTTGTAGACACCTGTGTGAGTCAAGGTTTGGAAATGACTGAAGAAAGGAAAATGATATAAGAACATAATACCTAACTCTTTCTGGTGGGTTTTATGTCCAGCTACCTTGGACCGTTATTACTTCTATAAATATGGAACTGATATGAAATAGATTGCATGATAAATACACTGGACTCTAGCAAACATATCTAAAACTTCAGTATTTCCTGACATATTAAGATGAGACTTCTAATTGGAGGCATGACTCAAGTAACTGTTTGGTACCAGAAAGTGAGTGCAATTAAATCCTCATTAATTCCCATTCTGTTACTGGTATGGAAAACATATACACTTTGTTTTTCTTCCCCCAAAATAGACTAGTGTTAACTACCTACACACTTTCTTAAATGGCATCTAGATAATTTTTAACTTAGGGAAAGTATAACAATTTAGGATTTGACCTACTTTTAATATAAAAGCAAACTATTGACAGAGGTTAAAGTTTTAGTATTGGTTTAGTGGATTCTGAGATTCAAAGAAAGCTGTTTTCTCCCCTCCACATACTTTTCAGTCTTCTTATTCCACTAGCTCTCCAGAAATGGCTCCTAACCAAATTGAAATGGCTGAAATTAGAGTTATACTATTCAGAATACAAGTGTCAAGGAAGCTCAATGAGATTCAGAAGAAAGTTAAAACTCAATCCAAGGAAGCCAAAAAAATGATTCAACAGTTGAAAGATTACATAGCCCTTTTAAGAAAGAACTAAACTGGACTTCTGGAATTAAAAATCAATTATAGGTATTTTATATTACAGTTGGAAAAATTAATAACAGAAGAGAACAACTTTAGGAAAGAATCTCAGAACTTGAATACCAATCCTGTCAATTAACCTAGCCTGATAATTACAAAATAAAAATAAAAAATGAACAAAAAATCCGAGAAATACATGATTACATGAAGAGATCAATCTTTTAACACATTGACATTCTTGAGAGAAAAGAAGAGTAAGTAACTTGGAAAACATATTAGAGTATATCGTCATGAGGATTTCCTCAATAACACTAGAGAGACTGACATACAAATTGAAGCAATTCAGAGGACTTCCATGAATTAGTATACATAAGGACCATTCCCAGCACACATATTCATCAGATTTTCCAAGTTCAGCATAAAGAAAAATTTCTTAAAGGCTGCTAAAGAGTCAGATCACTTACAAAGAGACTCCTATTACATTAAAAAGCACTTTTCAGTGGAAACTTTACAGACCAGAAGATAGTGGAGATCCATTTTCAGCTTCCTTAAAAAAAGAAATTCCAATCAAGAATTTCATACCCTGCCATACTAAGCTTCATAAGAAAAGAAAAAATAAAATCATTTTCAGACAAGCAAACTCTAAGGGAATTTGTTACCACTAGATAAGCCTTTCAAGAGGTCCTTAAGGGAGTTCTAAAGATGAAAATGAAAGAATGACACTACCACAAAAAAACAGTTAAGAACATAGCCCAGAGACCCACAGACCCTATGAAGTAACTACACATTAAGTCTACAAAACAATAGGCTAGCAACACAAGAACAGCATCAAAACCTCACACATAAACATAACTTTGAATGTAAATATTCTAATTGTTCCACTTAAAAGGCACAAACTGGCAGGTTGAATGAAAAAACAAGACCCAAACACCTGCTGTTTTCAAAAGATCCAACACACTTGTAACAATACACATAGGCTCAAAGTGTACTGATGAAAAAAGACCTATCATGTAAACAGAAAACAAAAAAGAGCAGAGATTGCTATATATAGTATATCAAACGGATTTTAAACGAGCAACAGTCAAAAAGGAGAAAGAAGGACATTAACAGAAAAGGGTTTAACTCAAGAAGATTAGCGATCTTAAATATGTATGGTTCCAACTTATAACTGATGCCACAGACACACAAAGGATCATTAAAGACTGTTATGAACAACTGCGCCACTGAACTCTAGCCTGGGTAAGAAGAGCAAGACTCCATCTCAACAAAAAGAACAACAGCCAGAAAACCTAGAAGAAATTGATAAATTTCTGGACAAATACAACTTACCAAGATTGAAATATAAAGAAATAAAAAAGCAGGCTAATAATGAATAATGAAATGAATTAGTAATAAAACTCTTTCTTCAAAGAAAAGTTTAGAACCAGACGGATTCACCACTGAAATCTACCAAATATTTAAATAACTAATACCAAGTCTTCTCAAACTATTCCAAAAAGTTCAAATGAAGAGAATTTGTCTAAACTCATTCTGCAAGGCCAGTATTATCCTGCTACCAAAATCTTATAAAAACTCAACAGAAATCATAAACTATAAGGCACAACACCCCTGATAAATACAGATGCCCAAAAATCTTCAACAAAATACTATCAAGCTGAATCAACAGTGCATCATCTGATAATTTGTTTATTCACAATTATCAAGTGGGATTCATCATAGTGACACAAGGATGGTTCAATATATGAAAATCAATAAACATGATGCATCAAATTAACAGAATGCAGGATAAAAATCATTTTATCATCTCAATAGACACAGAACACCCATGCAACAAAATTTAACCACTTTGTGATCAAAACTCTAGGCAAAACTCTAGGTATAAAATGAAGTTACTCAATACCATAAAGACCATTTATGACAAACCTATAGCTAACATCATACTGAAAAATAAATTGTTCTTTTTTGGCTGGGCGCATTGGCTCTTGCCTGTAATCCCAGCACTTTGGGAGGCTGAGGCAGGTGGATTACCTGTGATCAGGAGTTCAAGACCAGCTTGCTCAACTTGGTGAAACCCCGTCTCTACTAAAAATACAAAAAATTACTGGGCATGGTTGTGGGCACCCGTAATGCCACCTACTCAGGAGGCTGAAGCAGGAGAAGCTTGAACCCAGGGGGCGGAGGTTGCAGTGAGCAGATATCTAGCCACTGCACTACAGTCTGGGAGCGAGATTCCATCTCAACAACAACAACAACAACATATAATTGAATTAAAGTGCTGTTTTTCTTGTAAAATGATATCACCAATCGATCATCAATTTTGCATATGCTTAGGAATGGTTTTTGAGTGATGGTTATAGGATTTGGCTGATCTAGCAGGATTTGGTTATCTAGTTTTGAAGAAGAATGACAGCTACCTAAGGGGCACATGTGTATTACGTCTTTATTTTGCAACCTTAGAACAGATTCTAACAGATGGGTCAACACTAGATGAAACCTGTCATCTATGCTGTGCTTGGGTACCTGGTTCCCATTTGACCTCAGACTCTCAGATTCCAGCCATATCCCTTCTCCAACTCCACCTTCAACCTCAGCAATAATTGGTCTTTTACCACAAATTTCATTAACAGAATTAACTTAATTGGTCAGACTGGTATAGCTTTTTCAAAGTCTCTAAGCATAAAAACACACTCCTATCAAGCAGAATATTCGGAGGTTTCAGGGGGTATCTTCTAGGAGCCAGCCAAAGGCTAGTCCTGCTTTTGAATGTTCAAAGTTGGAGCAACCCCAGCCTGCCAAGTTAACCCTTTCCTATTTACCTCTGAATATACAAATATACTTGAATTTTCATAATTGGTTCTTTCTTATGAGCCAGAGAAATAATGCTCCTCGTGTTATAATCTAATTCTCCAACTGCATCTTCTCTTTCTTTCATCTCATCACAGACTTTATTTATTCATGATATCTATTTCTTTGCTAGTTCCCCCCATTATAATTATGAAAAAAATACCAATCATAACAAAATAGTATACATCTTATTTAGCTAGTTTTGTATCCATTTTCTGTTTTGGACAAATAGTGTGAAGTGTAATTTTACACTAAGTTTTTATTTTGTAAAATTTCTCAATCATTTCCTACTCACTGTTGCTCAGCTATATTCTGTATTCTGTAGAAAGCACCAGTGACTTCCTTATTTCTTAATCTAAGAAAAAAAAAATTCAGTACATTTCTTAGATGAGTAGATTTCAAAGTGTTATCCATTCTCTGTATCAAAGTATTTCCTTGGACTCCATGATCCTAATTATAATAACAGTATTTATTCATGCATTTTGAAATGCTAATTAAAAACTTATTAACACTATGTGTCAAGTGCTATTATAGGAACTAAGTATACAATGCCCCATAGACAATATCTCCATGTTCAGGTAGCTCATAACAACCACCATCACATTTGTATAGCACAAACTATTTTATGCCCTTTAATTCCTGCCATGCCCCATAAGAAAGACACTATTATCTCCATTTGCAAAGGAAAAAATATTTTAGTTAAAAGAAGTTAATTAACTTGACTAAGGCCTTAACAATTAAGAATTAAGTCTTAGGACTTAAATCGTTATCTATAAAATACCAAAGCCTGTGCTATTAATTGTCTGTAACCAAAGAGCTTAGCATAATCACCAAAATAATTTCTTCATCATAGCAACCATTATATCTCAGAGCCTATAGGAGATAGATAAGTGTCATATACATACTATTTAAATTATCTTTTAAAAATCAGTTTAAAAATCTGTAAATTGGCCAGGCGAGGTGGCTCACGCCTATAATCCCAGCACTTTGGGAGGCCGAGGCGGGTGGATCATGAGGTCAAGAGATAGAGACCATCCTGGTCAACCAAGTGAAACCCGTCTCTACTAAAAATACAAAAATTAGCTGGGCATGGTGGCGCGTGCCTGTAATCCCAGCTACTCAGGAGGCTGAGGCAGGAGAATTGCCTGAACCCAGGAGGCAGAGGTTGCGGTGAGCCGAGATCGCGCCATTGCACTCCAGCCTGGGTAACAAGAGTGAAACTCCATCTCAAAAAAAAAAAAAAAAAAAAAAATCTGTAAATTTATGTTTACAAATTTATCAAAGACCACTTTTAAAATATAAAACCAAGTAGAACCAAGTTGTCTTTATTAAACTCAACTGCCCTTTATCATATATTCCATACATCCTTGTAGCTCATTGAAAAGGTAATCACATCTATATCCTGGTGATGCTTCCTTTGACATTCACACTCATGTTATCTGCTTATGCAGCTGTTTCGATCACAGGAATTGATTATTTACTTGATAGATGAGAATTTAAAACTCTTAGATAAACATTTATTTTAATTTTGTGACCAATAATATTGCCACAGGATATTTTTAAATGCTCCCCAGATTCCAGTTTGCTATACTACAAATAAAAAAATATTACAATGATTATTTTTCCCTTACATTTTAAAAGTGTGATTTAAATTATTTATATGTACATAATAGATAATCTTTCATGTTGCCGAAATCCACTGCTAATTCAAAAAGGTAGCCACTTTTTCTAAGATTGGTGTGCTCTTTCCCTTTGTTTTCAGGGAAGCAATACAGGCATTCATGTCTGGGCAAGTGGAATAAGTGACCCACATGCAGAGTGAGCAACCCTTATCCAAAACACTTGAGATTCAGATTTTTTCAGATTTAGGAATATTTGCATTATCCCAAATCTGAAATTTGCAGTTGAGCATCCCAAATCTGAAAATGTGAAATCTGAAATCCTATAATGAACAATTCCTTTGAGTGTCATGTTGGCACTCACAAAATTTCAGATTTGGGAGCATTTTGTATTTCAGATTTTCAAATTTGGGAGGCTAAACTTGTATTAATAAATGAAATTTCAGTGTGCAATATCGGACTATTTCCAATATAGGTGCACACCCACTATAACTTTATAAATAATTTTAAGTGTATTTTTAAAAGCCAAAGGTTTTAAAAGTAACTTGGGATCAGGGTCAACCTGCTTGAATCACATTTCTCTTTTAAGTTCAATTTCAGAGAATGTTGGCAATATTTAATAACTACTGGGTAACATTCTACATTATTTTCTTCATTTAAAACGTTTATAATTTAATATTACAGTATTCAATTTACAAGTTGCAAAAAACTTTCAGTTCATTTTCTACCTATTCTCAAAATAGTGCTTTAGGAAGTTTTTAGATGTATATGCATATACTTCAAGCCAAATTGACTTTTATAAAATACATAAAAATAGGAAGAAAAATAGTTGAGAAATACTATGAAATAACTTTATAAGCCGTAAATTGAAAGCACACACATATATTTTAAAAAGTCACTTATACACTTAAGCTAATTATTTTCCGAATACAGAATATAGGCGAAACATAGAATGTTAGACAGCCAACCAAATAATGTTTAAGAAAGTTTTTAATTTTCTGAGATAATACCTATCATAAAATATTAAGTAGGCCAGGCACGGTGGCTCAAGCCTGTAATCCCAGCACTTTGGGAGGCTGAGGCGGGTGGATCACAAGGTCAAGAGATCGAGACCATCCTGGTCAACATGGTGAAACCCCGTCTCTACTAAAAATACAAAAAATTAGCTGGGCATGGTGGTGCATGCCTGTAATCCCAGCTACTCAGGAGGCTGAGGCAGGAGAATTGCCTGAACCCAGGAGGCGGAGGTTGCGGTGAGCCGAGATCGCGCCATTGCACTCCAGCCTGGGTAACATGAGT